AACGCAAAGGAAAATCTCTTTAGATACTTAAGTGACAATTGAATTTATTTTTATAATTGTTTTAATAGCTTTTGTATAATCTTCATTGCTATTATGAGATATAAAATGTATTTATCAAGTCTGTAATCATTATGCCAAAAAATCTGAATTACTGTAATATTTTGCATATTGTTAAAACTGTAACTTTAATTGTAAAAAAAAAAAATTAAAAAAAACCAAAAAAACAAAAACAAAAAAACCCTCAGAATTAGCAGAGCATGGTGGCACACGCCTGTAGTCCCGGTATTTGGGAGGCAGAGGCAGGTGGATCTCTGTGAGTTCAAGGCAAGCTTGGTCTACATAGTGAGTTCCAGGACAGCTGGGGCTACAGGGAGACCTTGTCTCAAATAGACAAAAACAAACAAACAAACAAACAAACAAAAAACCCAAAAAACCCTCAGAGTTTAGCCCCTTCTTTTTTCTCCATGTTTTGCTTCCACCAATATGAAAATGAGTTTTGGGATGGGTGTTTCCTGGGGATAGTTGGACAAGGGTCAGTGAGAAGGTGAGCCAATGGATGAGGAGTCCTGACCCGAACACAGAAATGGACCTGAGTTGCATAAACTTCTTCTTTTGCCTGTGTGTGTGTGTGTGTGTGTGTGTGTGTGTGTGTGTGTGTGTGTATGTAATCCAAAGAATCCCAGTTGCCTGCAAAGGCGCGGGGCCCAGCCCACTAAATGAATGACGGCCGCTGTAGCCAATAAGGATTTCCAGCAATCGACACCCCAAGAATTGTGGAGACTTCTTTCCACCAGGGCAGGGAGGGAAGAAGGTAGAACGGGGAACCGAGCGCTGGACACTCACTCCAGCACGTCGCGGTTGAACTGCCTCTTGCTGTTGCCCAGGAACTCTCCTATCATCTGGCGGCTGAGACCTTTCCGTTGGAGGAGAAAGTGGGCCACACCGATGGGGGTGTCGGGGATGAAGCCGCGCGAGATCAGGAACTGGATGCCCTTGTCCGGGTTTCTGCAGAGGGGTTGGAGTGGGGAGAAGAGCAGAAGCCAAGGCTCCTTGGGGCTGCTGTCTTCCTTGCCTCCCATAAAACCCACAAAGGCGTCTTGGAAATGGACTTCCCAGGGACCGCAGCACAGTGTTCCCTATGGGAACACTACTTACCTGAACCTCACATAGGGGATGGGTATTGGAGTTGGAAGAGGGCAGAGGAGGGAGAACCCAGGGCAGGAGGGGAAGCTCCCTTCTCTGTTCCTGCCGCAAGGCCTCAGGCTAGCTGGGGAAGTCCTTCCTCAAACCCACAACCCTGCTGCTCCTGGAGCTGTGTCTCACTGGGTTAGGGATTGGAAGATGAGCCCTGGGAACCAAACTTTCCTTGCAATTTTGACATTTTCAGGACATCCAAGCACGTGGCTGCTTTTCTAGAAATTCATTTCCATTGTGTTTTGCAAAGGCATCATTCCACAACATATTCCAGGAAGGGATCAAACGGGTCCTTCCCTAGGGATAGGTTGTGAATCACTGTCTTGCAGGATGAGGGTGTCTGTGTGTGCATGCAGAAGTGATACTGTGGACTTGGCAGTGTGCTGGGGTGGGATTGTGCTCACTAGTGGCAGCCGGACCTAGGAAATGATGGATGGCTCTGGCCTCACTTAGGTCTGTCTCCTGCCAACCCTTGAACAACCTGCCTCTCTCCTGTGAGCCTGTTTGTTATTCTGTAAAATGGGAGGATTCTGCCTGTCTCTAGATACTAGTAGAAGGATTGCAGGTGCTTCATGAGCTATGAACAGTAGTGAGTGTCTTGAGGCCAGGGGCTGAGTGTCACTCATCATGGTGCAGGCCTGGCATGCAGTAAATAACAGCTGTCTGAATAAATAAACACGGCTGTGGTAAGGAAAGACTTCATGTTCTAGGCCCAGAGGTATGAAGGAAGAAGTTGGAGAGGTTGTAATGAGCAGCTCATGCCTTGCTGGTAGGTATGTGTCTGCTTCCCCGCCTGCGTGGCCCCAAATGTGTTCTTGTTTCATGGGGTGTCTGAGTTATGGCAGCTGTGTCTTTCTCTCCTTCCGTTCCCCTCTTCCTTTTCCATTTCTCCTGGTTTGCTTTACACCCCCTTCCTGTCTCCTCCTTCTCTTACTCATCCCAATTAAAAAAAAAATTTAAGGGGGCTGGAGAAATGGCTCAGCAATTAAGAGCACAGACCGCTGTTGCAGAAGACCTGGTTTGAATCACAGCACCCACATGGCAGCTAATAACCATCATAACTCCAGTTCCAGGAGATTCGAGGCCCTCTTTTGTCCTCTTTGGGCATTGCATGGCAGGGATGCACTTATACGCAGATAGTACATTAAAAAATAAAAATAAAGTTAAAATTAATTTTTTTTAAGCATGAGGGGCAGGAGAAAGAGGACTGGAGAGACGGCTCAGCAGTTAATAGTACTGGCTGCTCTTGCAGAGGACCCTGGTTCAATTCCAAGCACGCACATGACTGCTAAAAAATCATCTGTAACTCCAGTTCCAGGGGATCTGATGCTCTCTTCTGTCCTCTGTGGGTATTGCATGTTGGGTGCACCTACTATGCAGGCATAGTACTCATTATACATAAAATTAAAAAAAAATTTAAAATTAAAAAGTAAAATAAAAAAGTATCATTTGAGGACAAGGCATGAGTGTCACGGCTTGTGTATAGAGGTCAGAGGACAGGTTTGTGGAGTTGGTTCTCTCCTTCCACCTTTATTTGGGTTTTGGGGGACTGAACTCAGATTGCCAGGCTTCCATGGCAAGCACCTTTACCTGCTGAGTCATCTCCAGACTCCTCTACCTCATTTTTACACACACACACACACACACACACTCTCTCTCTCTCTCTCTTCCATCATTCCCCCATTTTGCGACCACCATGAAATAATGCCATTTTCCTAACTGTGCTTTCTTCCTGGATTCCTGCTCAATTTTCATATTGCCTATGCTCAGCTCTGTGTATTCCTTTAAATTCTCTCATTTTTTCGAAGTGTCACCTCGTCTTAAAAAGTAATAGTTGTGCAAACCTGTGTCTGATGTGTCAGCTCATCAGGAAAAATAAAATGTGTACTTCCTAAATAAATATTCTGTAGGGGATCAGGCCAGGCACAAACTGCTTGGGAAAACCCTGGGATGATGCTGTCAGTTTTCTGGTGCCCCAGGCATGCAAGTCCCTCTTGGTCCTTTCCTACTACCTGGCCCTTCCCAGGACTGAAGTCCCCAGGCCTGGGCTCACTCACATGTTGAAGAGGTTGAGGCCGATGCGGTAGAGCCGCTTGCGCAGGGTGTCGGTGGACAGCGTGGGCGACCTGCAGCTGGCTGGGTTCTCGCAGTGGTAGCGGGGCAAGCTGAGGATCACTGCCTGCAGGGCCTCCTTGGAGGCAGAGGCAGAAACCTCTGAGCCAGACTTGGCTGATTTGGTGGATGCGCTGCTGCTGCTCAGCTGCTCGGAGTTGTCGCCCCCCTCGGCCTCCACCCCTTTCCCTGTCTCCCCAGCCTGTTCCTCTTCCTCTTCTGCATCTGCAGCCAAGGCCTCCACGACTGCCTCCGCGACCACAGGCTTGTGGGCAGCCTGGGCCTGGCTCTCTGCTGCCTCTGAGTCCTCACCGGGTGGGTCCACCTGCTCTACGTTAGGAGCTTCCGAGGCCTCCTGCCCTGGAGCCTCCGGTGACTCGCCTTGGCTGGATGCAGGCTCCACGGTGGCCTGGGTGGTCTGCGCCCCCAGGCAGTTGGCCACCGACAGAGCCGTAGAGGAGGAAACAGAGATATTCTGGTTAGCGATCTGTACCGTGACGTCCCGGAAAGCCATCATGAGCGTGCCGCTGTGGCCCTGGGGCAGGCCGCCGGCCTCATCTGCAGACCCTGGGCGGCTCTGGGGCTCCTGAACCTCGGCCTCCAGGTTGGGTTGCCCTGCACCTGGGTGCAGTGCCTGGTGGAGCTGGTACGCGCCACTCTCCTGTAGCGAGCACATGGTCTTGAGGCTCCAGGTGCTGAGGGCGTCGTCGATGGACTTGGCCAGGGACTGTACCTGCTCGGTGAAGGAGTCCTCCAGCTCAGTGAGCGAGCCGGCGAAGGTGGGCGGGAGGGAGGGCGAGCGTCCCAGCGGCAGCCCTAGCAGCCCGCAGCCCTCCAGAAGAGCCTTCTCGGCCACCAGGCTTTCGGCAGTGGGCGCCCGCACCTTGCGCAGGGAGATCCGCCGGGGTAGGCGGCTCTCCAGGAGCGAGTTACGGATCTTTTCGAAGTTCTTGCTGAGCTGGTACTGGCGGAAAGCGGTTTGGATCGTGCAGGCAGCGCGCCGGGATACCAGGTGGCCCCCGTATTTGTGTTCTAGCATTTCAATCTGCAGCGGGGACAGAGAAAAGAGTTTGGTTAGGAAAAGTGTTTGTGGGTCCCCAGTGCACAGTGCAGCTCTATGGGGGTGCTCACATCAAAAGACCCCCAAGTCTGACAGGCCTGAGACTCCCCAGGTCTCTGACAAGACTCCTAGGGTCAAGACAGAGGATTCCACTGGGGACCGGAGAGGCCCTCAATGCAGTGGATAGAGGTGTTGCTGATGGTTCACATAATGCTCATCTCCCATTTATTAAAGAATGCTTACATCAGAGACACATGCAGAAATATTTATGAGTGAAATGCATGATATCCTGAATTTGTATTGAAATACTGTCAAAAATAAGCTAGTTAGCATTATATTAATATTAATAAAATATTAATAAAGGCTGTTAGCTTAGCAATGGCCTTGATGCACAATTAAAAATAATTTTAGAAATGAAAAATTTTAAAATGATGTTAAAATCAAACAAAAAAATCCCCACTGCTACCCCCCCCTTTCTCCTTCTGGCTCAGCACTGGGGTGCTTCTCTTTCTCCAGGAGCACCCACAGATGCTCTGGTGTCTGGATTTGACCATCTTTGCATTCCCAGTCCCTAGCCCAGAGTCTGGCACATGCGAAGTGCTAAATAAATGTGAGCACAAACACATGGATAACAGCCCAGGAGTGGGATCCCCTCCAGGTCACGTCAAGCCACCTCTGTTTGCAACAACAGGAGCTGTGCAGCCAGGGCAGGGTTTAGTGGGGCTGGTTGTTAGGGTCTGACTCCAGGAAAACCTCCCAAGGTGCCTACTGCGTGCAGAGTCCTTGCTCTTTTCCTTCAGCTCTGCCCTTCATCTCTCATCTTTTCTCTGCTTAGGTTGCTGTGTTCTTGTTTTCCGTATTTTAGTAAAATCTCTCAGGTAAGGACCAGAAAGATATTCCCTTCTGAGATATGACTGACCATTTAACCATGCCCTCTGGAGGGCTTTGTATTTAAATAAAGGACTGGGCTAACGTTAAGGAGATGGATGTAACCGGCATTATAGACGCGGGTGAGTGTTCAGAATAGTTTAGGATGTGAGAAAATGAACCTGTATTCTGAAATTGTGTCCTGTACAGCCTTACCTTCCACTTATACATTATGCCTCTTCTCAATTAAGAATCTGGGTGGGTGGGCGGAGATTCATTCACCACAGCAAGAACAGTATTGACACCCAGGAATCTGGGTGGAAAGGGGCACAGACAGATTTGCTATCCCTACAGCAGATGGAAAGGCAAGATCATTCCTCAATATAGCACTGTCACCTGCTTCCAGACCCACCTGATCCACCAAAGGCTGTGGCTGGGATGACTGGTACAAGGCCCTGGTACAAGGTGGGGAGCTCTGCAGTGGTGTCAGGATCCTTGTATTACAGGGGAATCCTCAAATGGTCTTTAAAAAAATTATACCAGGGGGCAGGAGAGATGACTCAGGGGTTAAGACAACTGACTGGTCTTGCCAAGGACCTGGATTTTGTTTCCAGCACCTACATGGTGGCTAACAACCATCTATAACTCCAGTTCCAGGGGATACAACGCCCTCTTCTGGTCTCCATAGGCATTGCACACATGGTTGCACTTGCATGCATGCAAAACACTCATACACATAAAATAAAGATAAAATTTTAAAAATCATACAAGGATGGTCTTGGAAATGTAGCTCAGTGGCAGAGCCCTTGCTTAGCATGTGCAAAGCCATGGGCCCCATCCCCAGCACTGCTTTTAAAGAAAATCATATCAACCATGTTGGCTGTTTGTTGATGCATAAGAAATTTGCAAAAAAAAAAAAAAACAAAAAACCCTCAGCAGCTTAAAATAGCACCTTTGCTCAAGTTCCTTAAATCAATAGTCTGTACACAGCTCAGCTGAGTTCTCTGCTCAGGACAGCACCAGGCTGAAGCCAATGCTCGTTGGCAGAATCCTTTCCCTTGCCATCCTAGGACTGAGGCCCTCAGTTACCAAAAGCTGTTGCTATCCCCTGACACATGGCCCTCTCCACAGCATGCTAGTTTCTTCCTTTGAGGAACACAGGAAGGTATCTAGCTTAGGTTTTGTCTTACTTTAAAAGGTTCTTCTGATTGCATCACACCCACCAGGATGATCTCCCTTTTGGTTAACTGAAAGTCAGTTGATTTGCCATATGTTTCTAATAAGATGAAAACTCATATTGGACACATTATATCACTAATCATAAGAGTAATGACTATTATATTCATTAGGCTTGATCAATTTCAAAGGGAGGAAATTATATAGAAAGTATACAGCAGGGTAAGGAGCCATTGGGGCTGGCTTGGAATCCTGCTTACCATACAGCTGGAGAGTTGCCTACTTGGTCTCTCTAGTAATTTTTCATGTACCTGTAAGAAACCTGGCTCTCTGCCTCAGGTGTAGTCTGTTCCTGCTTTTACAGACATCATGCCAGAAGGAAGAGAAGACCATAGCTTGGTGGGTTCTCACTGCTGAACTCTAGTGTGTTCACTGGTGCCTACTATGGAGAGTCACCCTTGAATTAGGCAAGAAATATCTCTGAAGCAAAGTGTGGAGTCTAGAAGGGAACTTTTCCCCTCTCACTTTTTTCTCTTTTATCCCCTCTCAAGGACCATGAGACACTCATATGAAGCCCAGACGTCACATCTCTTTCCCACTGGTCTGTTTCTACTTCCTTGGGGAACCAAGACCCAAGAGCATCCTGTCGGGTGATAAGATGCCATAAACAACTGAGAGAATGGGTGAAGCCGGAGACATTTCTAGCATGGTAAAGGATCCATCCACTTGGTGTGGTATCATTTCATTTAGAGACAGAAGACTGGCCAAGATGACCCTAGGAGGGTCCTTTCATGCTCTCTCTGTTTCTGAACTGTCGCTCGTTGAACAGCCTTCACCATATGCAACCACCCTCATGAACTGAACAGCCGCACTCTGCTTTTCCTACCCTGATGACCCCAAACCCTCTCAGACTATGAGCCATAAGTCCTTTCTCCTTTAAAATTTCTCTTAGGTATTGTGGTAACAGACACAAAACTAATGAGTACAGAAAATTCAGTACCAGAGAACTAGGGTTGTTGCTGTGACTAAATCTGACTGTGTAGTTCTCAGGCCTTTGAAACTGGTTTGCAGGAGGAATTTGGAAGAGTTTTGAGATGTGGGTTTCAGAATCCCTAGAATGCTACAAGCAAAGACTAATTGTTTGAAACGTGGAAGGCCAGAATGCTGATAAAAATGTGGATAGTAAAGGCTGTGCTCATGAGATTTCAGATGGGAACAAGGACTGTGTTGGAAATTAGACTAGAAGCTATTTGTTTGCATTCTTCCTGTGCCCTGAAAATTTAAGTGAGGTTGAATTCAAAAGGTAATGGGCTAATTAATTTTGTGGAGGAAATGTCAAGACAACGTAGTTATTGATACGGTTATTTCTGGTTGCTGTGTCAATTTGGAGCAAAAAGCAGTGCTGAAACATATGAACAACATATACTATGTCCAGAGAAAGGATCACATTTAAAATGGCAAGATCATCCACTGAAGGCTCCAGGATGTACAACTGTAAACTCATTTGAGTTTCCTTTGAAAAGAGAGTGCCACCTGTAAAGAACTTAAGGAAGTGTTTTCCCAGGTTCAGTCATTCAGGACTCAGACTATTGTAGTGATAGTCTAAAAAGTTCTGGCATCACCTGCAGGATGCTGGTTTTATAGACATGCAGAATACAAGAATTATGGGGTCATGGAGGCTTGGACCTAGATTTTTAAGAAAGGGCTGGAAGGTCATAGTCTCCCTCTAGGGAACCCCTGACAGAGAGATGCATGAAGCTTTGAAGGAAAAACCTGGGATGCAATGGAGAACTCAGAATGCTAGACATGCCAGGCACATGGAATATCTGCCAACGAAAGCCATGGACACTAGTGGAAACAGCCCAAGAAAGAGATCATGTGGTTTGTAAATGGCAGGACCATAAAGGCAGGGCTGCTCAAGCCTGTTGGAGCTCAGATGATGCCACAATTATCACCAGATGCCAGACATAGAGCTAAATAATTTAATCTATTCCCTGCTGGGTTTTGGTCTTACTTTAATTCTATCCCTCTGTTCTATGTTTCCATTTCTGCTTTTTGGAATGGGATATTTTTACTCCATGACATTGTATATTGGAAGTATATAACTGATTTCTTAAAAAGTTATAGGAGCTTATTATTGTTAAAAGATAGCTTGAGTCTTGGTAGAGAATCTGAAATTTGTATTATCTCTTTAAACTTTTTTTGGGGGGGTAGGGTGTATATTCATTGTTCATAGTGTTGGGTTTCATAAAGACACTTTCAAACATATTGTGTACTTTGACCTTGTCCCTTTATTCCTCCTCCCCTTATCCTTGGTCTTTTTAACAATATTGAAACTGTCAAGACTTTGGGGACTCTGAAAGTTGGACTAAATGCATCTTGTATTATGAGGTACCATGGATGGACTGTTTTGACTGGAATGTGAAACATGCCCACCATGGGCTCATGTTTTGAATGCTCATTTTCCAGCTGGTGGTTGTATGTTTGGGACACTGTGGAACTGTTTGGAGGTAGGGTCTAGCTGGTTACTAGGCATGGACCTTAGAAGGTAATATCTGGCTTCCAGTTGTTGTCCCAGTCTGTGGGGTGCCTCATCTGTAGTGATGTGAACAGCCTCTACCACATGCTCCCACAACCAAGAACTAAGCTGATATATCATACCCTTCCTGCCGTGATGGAATTAAAACCACTGAAACCAGGAGTCCAGAAACCTCTTTCTTCCCTTAAATTGTTTCTGTGAGGCACATGGTCACAATGATGCCAAACTAACACAAAGCCCCATGAAGACAGAGGCTTGCTTGCCCTGTCCATTGGCTGACCACCAATTTTTAGACCATACCCAGCATGCAGTAGGCATTCCATGTATTGAATAAATTAAACAATTAATTTCAACATTATCTCTGTGATTCTCAAAAATCCTCATATGACCTGGAGCAAACCAT